TTTGACCATCTTTTAACAGTAGTAACTAATATAACTTTTCTTGTTTAGAACGCATTTGAAAAGTCGGTTATGGGGATGGTTCGGTTCGTGACGTCCATTCTCAAGTGTGTTTGGAGAGTAGCCAGGAGTTATTTTGGACACGTTACGAAGCAATCTGCAATATGGCACAGTACCTCGTGACTGCGCAAAGTGGGCGTGTCGGAATCGTGTGTTCGAGGAGACTTAACAAAAGAAGATCACAGTAAATGCACCGTGAAAAATGTAAGCTTCAAGTTGGGGCTTGTCTCTCAAGGCATAGGGGTAACATTTCCTACCCAACTCTACGGTAGTGGCTTGTTGCAGATATGCCAACTGTTGCCAATGGATCTCTACGCGTGTGACGCAACCGTGCTCCAAGAACATAAAATGTCATCGCTAACAAACGCGTGACGACATCACGTTGAACGACGGAGGGTGAGCCGTTCAGTGACAGCTCATTATGGAGAAGCGAGAACAGCTGCCAAAAAATTTAGAGCATGTGCATTGGAAGTGTATTTTTCCACAAGGCTGAGCGTTAGTTCGCATAGTCGCGTGCCAGTACTTCTCTTTTAACCCCTACCACAAAGCACCGGAACTAAAGTGTGGATGTTGCTTTTAACAATATTATGTGCACTCCAGTTCATTCTTCGTGTGTATGTGTCATTGAATGAGGTTGTAGTTTGGTATAATACTAAGGCGGAGTTACATAACTGAAGTAAAGCTCAGAAAGAAAGTTATATAACTAAAGACAATATCTACCCGATTGTTTCTAGATTTAAAATGTGTGATGAATAATTACAATATTCGTAGTATATAGTAATAAATATTTTTAATAAATAGCTCCTTCAGTTTAGTCGCATTCTTCTCCGATATTCAGCTTACAATCCCAACGAACATGTTGAATAAACTTTAGTATTAGAGCAAATTTAACCTTTAATATGTTTGGTTTGCCCTGTGAACTGTAAAAATGATTCAGCCAGATCTGCTTTTAAAAATTAGTACCACTTACATGTCTTAAAAACGTATGTTGGTTAATGTTTGTGTTCAAATGTAATCAAAGTTAGAAATATCTGATCTTCATCGCTTATCCAATTACTCTTCGAGCTAGAAACGATTCACTTTCCAGTCAGTGGAACGCTGTAGACCTTCATATTTCTTGCTCGTTTGTTTGTGAAATAATGTGTTCTAACCGTAGTTGGGTTGATCCATATAAATATCGAAAGGTCGCATGTCGTGATTCGTATTAAAAGCCACATATAAGGTTACTCATAAGCTGTGAAAGTTGGTCATGTAGTCTGTCGGGTCTGGTCTGACAAATATCAGTGTTTAATGTTTTAACGAATGGTTATACTTTTACTTCAAATATTGTTAAAAATGCTGGCATGTACGGTGCAACGCATATATCATACCAAGTGCAAGTGTTATGGCGAATACGTGGCAGTGCTTGATTTCGCTTGGTCGAAAATGGATGTGAACTCCCCAACGCCGGGTTACCCATAAACATAGCAAGCGTTTATAATAAAATACAGCCCCGGCACAATCAATAATTTGTAGTTTAAATATTTCACCAGTTTCAAGAGCAATTATCACTTCCATCTCAAAGCTGTGGAATCGAATAATTCCGCAACAATAAATGAGGGAGGAATGAAATGTTATTTTTCGCGTATTCAATGTTTTTATAGTTAATAAAAAAATTGATGGTTGTCACGAAATGTTGGGATTGAAAACGTCCGCTAAGTTATCCATCTGTGAGGAAACTTTTTCAAATGACCAATGAAAACACTTTTTAACTACTATTTCAATGAATACATCCAATGTGCTGTTGGCTCGCACGATTTATTACTTGATATTTGAATATGCATACAAAATATACTAAAACGGTGAGTGTTGGTTTGGAATACCAGTGATTGTCGAGCCTTTATTACAAGTTATGAATACTATTTAATATCGAGGCGATATTATCGAGTCTACTAAACAACCCAACATGCACAAAATCGAAGAAGCATTAAATTGAATATGTTCTTCTGCGGCATTTCTGTTGCTTTGTCGTGTACCGCTGATGATATCTCGATCAAAATCATCCTAGAAGGCACCGTTTTCCAGTTGTGTAGAATCGATGTCCAGAAGAAATCCGTTAACCGGGTAGTGTAAAGCGAGATTGCTCTTGCACCTACCTAACATACGCGTTAAAATATCACGTAAAAGTGCAATTCGCCAAATCTAGAGACATTCTCATTCATTGAAATTTGTTGATTACGAGGGCCGCCCGCAAACGGGGTCTACACTACGGACATTATGTAGGTTATGTTCGTAATTTGAACTTCTTAGTTGCTTGCTGTGGTTAACCCGACCTTGGTTCTCCACATCCTATATAACTACACAAATTGTGATGGTGAGCAAAGGATTCGTGAGGGGTCGAGGAGGAGTGTGGGGCGGGGTGAGGCGAGAGGGGAGGGGGGAGGCGGCTCACGCCGCCCCCCGCCGCCCGCCGCCGCCCCCGCCCTCCGCAGCCGCTCCGACACTCACACCTGGCGGTTACCAACGTTCCAACGCCAAAAAAAACAGATCAAGCGTGCGGTTATATCGCTTAGTTGGGTTAATCTCTCGGGATAGCCATATATCAACCTTTCGCATTTACTGAGGGATGAACGTACTACTCGTCAAACATGAAGGTAAAAGACGAATTCTCGTCAAATTGTGGGAAACATTTTATGATGAAATGGTTTCCTTAGGTAGATTTTCGAGAAGGGAAAAGTATTGAATTCTTGTAGATAAGAACCTTAAATGAAATGGTCTTCTTTACAGTGATTTTTCTGAAGGGAACCAAGTGTATTTAAAAACAGAGATTTATTATTATAGTATTCGATCGTAGGAACTTATTAAAAGGGTGGGATTGGAAAACCATGAAATTTGATGCAACGATTTCCAAGGTACGGATGGTATACATTAACTATTCTTTTAGTTAAGACTAAATAAAAAATAATTGAAAAATAATACTTGATATCAGAAATACAGTATGAATAGTCAATATCATTGCATTTAAAAATATGTGTGTTTACTGCATAACAAATTGAGTAAAATTATGGTGGTGAAACTGATAATTTACCTCTAATTGGTTGACATAGGAGAAACACTTAAATCTTAGTAGTTTATGTTTCGTGAATGGAATTGCCAAAACAATGAGAAATATTGAATTTACTATAAATTGATACGTTATCTTCGAGTAAGTTTCGTTAAACATCAGGCGCATATTTGGGTAAATTTAAACTTTTTGGTAGATTTCTTCATTTCAAATGAATTTCTATGAAATATCACAGAAAGAAGCCCATTCATCTGGTTGGTCGATTCAATAAGGCAGAGACGGTTTCTACAAGAAATGAGAACTAACTTACAAATAAGATGATATTGTCCGGGGTCTAAATGGGATGGCAGCTCGCTTCCCACAGAAAGATGAAAGGTTGAAACACAGCCACCTTAAGTTACTTCCTTCCGCCCTTGCATGAGGTATTTTGACACACTGAATTGCCAACCTACAAAAGGGGACTGGCCATTGTGGAGCATCAGAAGTTGGTTTGCTTTCGAGAAATCTTTTCGCTGGTGATATTAATCTGAAATGAGAATGGTTATTGAATTTGTAAAGTTGGCTTGAAAATGCCGAAAGATGTTGGGAAAATGTTCCAATTGTTTCGGCTCAGGGAGCTTGAAAACTGTGGTAACGAATTCAGGAGCGTATTGTTGCCTTTTCTTGATACTTTTTGGGAGAGCATTGCTCAGCCGACGACACAACTCATGCAAGCCTACTGACGGCTTAAGGAACTTCACCGTAACCATAAAAGCAGCACAAGTATTATATACTTTTACTTTCAGTTACGAGTCGAATACATGAAAATACGAATATTATAAATGTGAATTTGGAAAAGAAAACGACTATTGTTGCAATTAATGGTACAAGGATAATTGTAAAATAATAGATGACGAGATTCAGGGAACAGCCCTGCCACGAGAGGCAGCCGTGCCGAATCTGAAAGTACCTTACTGCGTCGGGTGAGATCCGAGTATCAAGAAAAAGCGCGACTAGTATTAGTCGACAAAGCCAAAATAATTGACCAGGAGGCACGTAGCACATGCAATTTCTGCACTCAGTTCTTAGCCAGTTTCGTAACCATTATCACTTCTAATGCTAATTGCTAGTCATCGAGAAGCTTTTTTTGTGCACATTGTGATTTTGCTTCTATTGTGATAAAAGGAAGACAATATGTCACAGCTTAAAAAAAACTATCGGCAAGGATAGTTTTTTTAGCGTAATTTAAGTTGTAGATAACGAAAATGGTTTGAAAATAAGACTGTCCCTGATCATATATTACAGTGCTGCTGCTTCAGCCGGGCCAATTATTAATTCTTTAGCACTTATCCATGGAAACCACTACATTTATTTACTTTTTATTAATAAGGTTGCACTTTGCTATACACCGAAGTGCAACTTTAGTAATACTTTGCGGACCCGCACTGCTAAATAGTCATGTCTATAGAAAATAATCATATAAACAAAACTATTGGAGGCCAGGTGATTCAGTATTACTGCTGCCTGTCATTATGCGAATGATCCCAAGAATTGTCCCTGTAAGTTTCCATGAATTCGTACAAAAAAACAATGTACGTAACTCATACGAATAGGTCTTTGGCGTACTCTTTTCGATATTCCGTAATCTGCTCCCATCGCCGCCTCGTTCGGAAATATTTTCCTTCGTTCGCCAAACACCCGCGCTCCGTATCAGTTACGCAAATACGTGTTGTCGATTATTACGGCGTCGCTTGCCGGGATGTGACTCGCGCAGCGTTGCTCACTCGTTTGCGGACGTGTCAAAAGGGGCTCATCCAAGGGCGGTTTTGCAGCGGCGAGGCCAGGCGGTGGTGGCGGCGGCGGCGGCGGAGGCGGCGACGGCGGCGTCGGCGCCCTGCTCATAGACCACTCAAAGCAAATTTGTCGGCCAAAAAAAGAGTGTTTATTGACCATAGAAATGCCATATTCTAAATACAATAGTAAAGTTGATAATAATATATAATAATATTTTTATTCAAAAAAAGATATAGTAGTAGACTTTTTCCTCGTCTCACATGGAGTTTTAAATTAAAATATATATATTCATATAGTATGTATATATACACAAACCAATAGTAGTAGTAATAATATAGTAGAAGTATGTTACAACAAAACCCACTCAGTTCTAGAATAAATAAAAAGAAATAACTGCCTCTTTTAGCTTGTTTTTTTATTTGTCGATAAAAAATGTTTTTGCTCATTTTCGTTTTGGCTGTCGCCATGGACTAGAACGTTGTACTGATTTACGTAGTTTTTTCAACAGCACAGCAAATTCGGCCCTTTGTTGTTCAGCACGGGGGCCCTGTATTTGTAGCGCGAATACACATGAAAAGGAGAGAAACATTGTGTGTGAAAGAAAGAAATAAGAATGAGAGAAAGAACGAAGGAGAGAACGGACGGGCGCACGTGCAGCGAGCGAGAGCGAGAGAAAGAGAGAAGAGCAGCAGACCGGGAGGAAATGAAAGAGTCAAAGGGGGCGTGGTTGAAGGGGAGAGGTTCGCCCTATCCACAGCTTAAAATCCCGCCCCAGACTCGCCCGAGTGGTGGAGGAGGCGACGGGGAACGGGTGGGGCCCCACTGTGGGGGGGCGAGGGATGTTTTGTGTGGGGTGGGGGGAAGGGGCTAGAGTCGGGGATGTCAGGGGCCGAAACGGCCTGGCCATGCGGCCATCGATCACTGCGAAGGCAACGGCGGCGGCGACGGCGGCGGCTGCTGCTACGGAAGAGACGAAGAGCTGGAGAATGTCGACCCAGGGGGAAGATGAAGAAGAAGAAGAAGATGATGTTGGGCGATGTGACGTCTCACGCCTCGATCACACCGGCTCCCAGCAGGCGGGGCAGTCTCTCTGCGGGACAGCCCAGGCGGTTGGCAGCACTGGACGTCTCTCACTCCCTCCCTCACAGATTGAGAACAGATTGGCTCCGCCAGGGCCGTCTACAGTAGTCTACTACACAGGTACAAAGGCGGCCATGACTCCGCCCGCCCGCGCGGCACAGTTGCGCCGAGTGCGTTGGGCGCCCGTTAGATGGCAGTAGCGTAATGACGTCGTTCGCGATACCACCGACAGGGTGCAGGGTTGTTTGAATCGATTCTGATTGAAACGTTACTTGAAGCTCAGGTGGCTTTGTACTCTTAAAAATTGAACTTAAAAAAATATGTTCTTGAAACAAAATATATTTATCTTTGTTGTCTCGTCATGTATATTGCAGGAGGCCAATCTGTTCATTATGTGCGGGATTATTTTATAATTTTTAACTTTATAGTTTTTTTCATGTTTTTTTCTTTATATTACAAAAATAGAATCATATCTTGAGAGTGAGACACGTGAGTGAATTGACTTTCGTAACATCGGATTTTCGTGCTGGGGTACAATTGCTACGAAACACACACGCGTGTCATATGACTGAAGGGTTGTGGGATGGATCCATTCAAGAATGAGAGACAAAAACATAACACCCGAAAGGGTACGTGCTGCGCTAGCAACAGGTGTCTGGAGAGCACACAACCACGCTCACTGGACTTCATGCAATGAAACATAACCTCTCCGAACTCCACTTCGTCTCATAAAGCGGAGTTCGTAACTGCATCGCCAAGGGGAAGTCCCCTCTTCCGAGTGGACGCAAAGGAAACATCACCTGCAGACTACGGTGCCTCGCTTGACGACCAAATAATCACAGCTATGGAATGGCCCACTGGGTTCAAAGAAAGGGTTTACAGATATACGGGTCAACAAAAGAGACAGAAAACAGAAAATCAGAAGACGAGAGGTGAAGCAGTGCAGCCCGACTGCCCTTTTCAAGGTAAAAGGGTGAACGGTAGGGTTGATGACTTTCGGCGTCTGTTTGGCGGTGAAAGTCGGCCTTGTGTGAATGATCTTTAATCACCACTTTAAAATCGTTGTGGTCCATACGACCGCTTACATTAAACATATTTCGTTTCGAAATGAAATAGTTATGGCAGAGAAGTGAAAAATAAGGAACTATGCATTCACTTTTTTTTATTTCTTAAGTCTCCTTAGCTCAAGGAGATACTTAAAATATATCGATTAATAATAGTAAAAATACTGTCAAATCTATGTTACGTCTAAAGATCTGCGAAGAATATAGAGCAAGATTGCTCTTTTGCGCAACCTTTTGGTCGCTCCCGTGTGCATTTGCTGACTAAAAGAGAAATAAAAAGGGTATATTTAAGTTAAATTATTGCTGTCCTTACCGACTAAAATGTCTCGAAACTTCAAAACGAGACTTCGTTTGTTTGTGCTCACTTTTGAGATATATAGAGAGCAACCGCCATTAGTTATTAAAATGGCGGACTGAGTTCGCAGTTGAGGAGATATCCGCCATACAGAGCTTTATTCGGCGTAGAGCCGTGTAAGGGGCTTTGAGAGGCGAACAGAGGTTCGTGCAAGTGAAGTGTATGTCCATATCACATGAGAATCATGACACTTTTGAGAAACACGCGACAGTTTTCACAAGAACAGAAAATGTAAAAATTTCAACATCAGACATTGTTGAAATGCATTGAAATGGCATTTAGTGGGACAAAGACCACATAACACACTTTCAAAGTTGCATGTTGCCATTGATTTGCAACTTAGTACGTAAAACACGTAACTAACATTTAAAAGTTCTGAAATCCTATCGGAATTGTGAAATATTGTCTCTAAACCCACCAAATACCATTTCGTTGAGGGTTGGTTGCGGTACACTACGTTCAGAGCAACCAGAGTTACGACTTTGAAAGAACCGACTAATCAGCAGTTCCGCTCTTAGTGTAGCTCCAGATCAATTTGCTCCATTCGTATGTGTAAATCCAAATGGATGGTATATTCATTTATGTACTGGCATGAATATCTACTGAGAAAATTCGTTCAACTGGATCGTAATAAAAACTTTACTCAACTGGAGCATTCGAGAACGATTGTCCCTTCGGAGCACAAGAGAAAACTTGTTCAATTAGAGCACTCGAGAAAGTTCGTGCAACTGGAGCATACGAAAAAGTGTGCGCAAAGACGTAACCCTGGCGTGCCGTGTTGCGGGAGGCTTCTCAGTCGATGCATCATCCATCTCGAACAGGATCGTGTCGGCCGTCAAGATCGCAAAAGGACAGGCTGCGAGCTGGTTGTGGGACGGCAGGGGGGAGTGATACAGGCAGGGTGTGCGGGTCGGGCAGGGGAGGGAGAGAAAAAATGTGCGTGGGGGAGGGGAGGAAGGGGAAAGATGGTTAATGGTGGTAGCTGTGGTACGTACCGGGCCGGTAACGGTCGGCGGCGGTGTAGGGCAGGCCGGGGTACAGGTTGCGCGGGCTGTAGCCGTACGTCTCCCTGCTGACGGGCAGGTAGCGGTAGCCCGGCACGGTGATGCGGTCCGCCGCCAGCGACGGGTCGTCGTAGATGGACTTGGACAGGGGCCAGCTGTGCGCCAGCTCCGGGAAGTCTGCGAGCAGCGGCCGGAAGAGGCCGCGGCGGGGCCGCACGGACGGCTCGGGGGCGCGCAGGTCGTCGGAGCCTGCGGCAGACAGAGCACGGGCCGTTAGCAACATCGTCACGCCGCTTCAGTGTCCGTTAACATCGTCACGCTCCGACCACACATTGTTGAGCTACGACTACACATCGTTACGCTCCGTCAACTTATCGTCTCGTTACGATTTCACATCGTCACGCTACGACCACTCATCGTCACGTTTCGTCAACACATTGTCACGCATTGTCTACACATCGTCACGTTTTGTCTACACATCGTCACCTTTCGTCTACATATCGTTTCCTTTCGTCTACATATCGTTTCCTTTCGACTACATATCGTTTCCTTTCGACTACATATCGTTTCCTTTCGACTACATATCGTTACCTTTCGTCTACATATCGTCAAGCTTTATTCTACTCATCGCCACGTTTCGTGTACACATCGTCACGTTTTGTCTACAAATCGTCACGCTTTGTCTACAAATCGTCGTATTCAACATTCAACACACATTCAACATCGTAACACTTCAATGTAACATCACAATTTGTCAACATTGTCATACATCATTGCAAAGCTCCGTCACCGTCACCCTCCGTCAACATCGTCACACTATTCAAATAATTTTCGCATGCCTTCACATTCGCATTCACATTATCACAAGAAATTACAAGAAACACTAAATTGCGTTCCTCTTAATATATCTTGGAACCACACTCATACTTTTGTCTCAGTAACATGTGTTTCTAGCTGGAATGAAAATAGAATGACTCTGGTATTAGTCTCTTGTATTATTATTCCAGCTGGTAAGAAGAGCAGACATGATGTATACATCATTTGAAAGAATTCTGGGGTTCTCTAAGTGTACACGAGTTACTATTACTTATTTTCTCCAACCTTGCCAGTAATTCTCCCTGCCCTTGACTTTATTTTAGTACTTCTTAAGACATATTGCCCTAATTAAAATACCTGCGAGGAGAGTAGTTGGCTCCTTGCCAGATAAGCTGTGAACAATCTTGTTGAGGGATTCTATTTTATTATGATTCGTATCAACTCTTACTTGCCTTTTCTCTCGAATTAGAGAATTTTAGATGCAAATTAAGATAAGAAATTCATTAAACACATTTTATTATTTATTTCGCAATTATTGTTCATTCTTCTTGAATAATATTCAGTTAACAATACTTATTTAAATCATGATACATTTATGATAAGATTTAAATCAAATGATCTCTTAGTCAAAATGCTGTTATCTTGGCTCTGAAGGCATTTTTTCACTTTTTCGGAATTTGAAATATTTTTTCATTTAATTTCATCAAGAAAACTCGTACGTGTCGCGTATTTTGAATTGACCTCAATCGTTTTGGGGACGTGACCAAATAATTTTAATATTTTCAGTGTGTTTGAATAGAATGAATAGTTTGAAAATAATCTCTTAACTTAGAATTTTCGAAACGTCTGTGTTGCTGATTTTTTCTTCCTTACAAATTGAGATGGGTGCCCAGATTATGATAATAATATTGCTAATATTAATGCTTGTCAATGTATGACCAACTGTCTTCTAGTAGTTTTGTGTAGGTAGACGCTTACAAATTTACCAGAATTTACTTTAAAGCCTTTATATTGGATCATTCTCCTCGGAAATATAAAGGCTATGCAACCCGTCTTACATAAATGCTCGTAGCTTTAACGGTTGCATTTCGTAGGATTCGCAGGCGCAACAATTTTTTTTAAACATTAGAGATACGTCCAACTATTTTCGAGAAGGGGGAAAATAACCGGACTTTTAAGTAGACGACAAGGGGTTTTTGACTGAAGCCCTAATCATAATTTCCTTAATAAAAAATGTATAACTTTAAAATAAGAAAATTTAAAACGTTTAGGCCTATGTATTCACTTTTCTTTGCCTCACAAAAACTGCGTAGTTTCAGTGGGTTAAAGAGAACATCAGAGGTACTATTGAATACCAAATGCTAAGATCGCGGAATTTGATAATTTTAGTATTTTTTTCTAAAATTGATGACAGTATCTGGCTTTTGCATAATCTAGATGAAATTTAAGAAATTATTTTCCTTGGTGTTTATTCTAGCTTAACGTAAGCCAATCCGGTAGTAAATGTATTTATATTCTCAATGTTTTTTAATATAAATATATTCTATACTGGGGAAAATAATATAATCACTCATTCAAGGTTGTTGGTTAGGTCTCTTAGGTCTCTCTGGATGGAGGACGATAAATACGAGTATTTCTAAGGATTAGCGGACTTTTTGTATTGAATTACCTCTTAATTATTCTCTTGGAAACAAACGTTATCGCTTTTTAGCTTCACATCGGGAGCTAAACTTTGTTTGCTTGTGAATTATTTTACTCTCTTGTAACATAAAACTTAACAACCCATAAATTGATTACTCGACAACCTCAACTCAACCTCAACCTCAACTCGACAACCTCAACCTCAATTCAATTCAATTCAACCTCAACTACCAACAATTTCATTTCATTTTGATGTTCTGGCAAACTCATCACCCGATAACCCTATCTCCCGATCATTTCATCGAACTGGCCGACAATTGAATTTTCCGGTTATTTCTCTACCCGACAACCACATCGCCCGACACATTTTGTCACCTGATAACATCGTTGCCGGACAAATGCATCGGCCTGCAACTGTATTACCGGATAATTTTATTGACCACTATCCTGATCGTCCGATTATTTATTTGCCGGACAACCTCTTTGACCGACAACCTCTTTGACCGACAACCGTATCGCCCTTTCGCCGACTCCGCCTTCACCCGCGGTGGAAGCCGATACGGGCTCTCCAAAAGCGCCCCCTATACGAACGCGTCTGCATTCCGCAGCCCCACAAATATCCCGCGGGGCGCGCGCCAACTCGCCAACGGGATCAATTACGCGGCGCGAGGTTGGCGCGCCTGCGTCCGAAGGCAGGCGCCGCTGCCGCCGATGAGACGAGAGCTGAGCAGAGCAGGGCCGGCCGGACGCCAGGTACAAATCGAGCGGCTGACCCAGTGGCCCTCGCGACAGAGCCGTCGCCGTGGCTCGCTCACGCGCGTGCTCTGGGCTATTCTCGGACCGCCCCCGCGCGCTGGACGTCTGTCCCGCGTGCCTACCTCTTCTAAAGACCTCGCCTGTACACGGAGTTCATTTTTGAGTGACATTTTGTGAGGCTTTGGATCTGATCCTTGCGGAACTCCAGTTTTAAGAGCATACGGTAACAGTAAAGGGAATCATTTTACAAGGTATTCGCCATGGTGAGTTACGTTTAAAAATCTCACTTGTACACGGCGTCTGTCATTGATTAAGATTTCGAGAGGCATACTCTTGATCTAAACCTTGAGAAAGTCCAGTTTTAAGAGTGTGCGGTAATAGTAAGTGGAATCATTTTATATGGTATTCACCATGGTGAGTTACGTTTAAAAATATCACTTGTACACGAAGTTTGTTATTGGTTAAGATTTCGAGAGGCAAGCTCTTCATCTAAACCTTGAGGAACTCCAGTTTTAACAGTATGCGGTAACAGTAAAATATAACCTTTTTCAGGGCATTGACCATTAGATGGAGTTTTGTTTGCGAGTTTTCTCTGTCCAAAATCAAGGAATGTGAATGTTTTGCCATACAGTCTGTTTGCTTGCACGGGACAAAGATCGCCCCTGACTAGGGCTTTCTTAATTTATATTACGTAAGGCCAGAGCTTTATCTCAGTCTTCTGAAACTCCAACTGCAAGAGTATATGATGACAGAAAATGATATCCTTGCCCAGAGTATTAATAAATTGAAGTACTCTATGTGATTTTCTTCTGACGCAAATCGAGGAATGTTAATTATTTGCCATAAGCTTGGATGATTGTTTCCTATTTCTGCATCATTTGACTCGCTTGCACATAATCCATTAACATTAAAGTTTAGGAATACCTAAACGCTGTCACAATAATCAGTTAACTCATTCGGTAATAAATTCTAACTGGAAGTCGAATCAAAGAGCTTTAACTCCCAAACACATTTCTTTAATGATTTCCTCGTCTGAGTAACTTTCTTCTTCAGCTCAATTCGGAATGTTCAATTATAATTTAGAACGAAAGCCTGAGAGATTGATTACATTGCATCTAAAACAATGGTTTCAGAAGTCTGGGTACAAGATATTTAGTTGATGATTTCATATCTGGAGAATCTGGTTCTCAATTTGATACGTGTATGCATTAAATAATCAATAAACTGTTTTTGATACAATTTTTTACAGCTTAGTGCGAGCAATTCCTTTGAAATGGGGTCATTCCGAGCAACCTAGATAAACAAATGACTTCTCAAGGGGGTTTGGTTACAAAGTTTTGGAAAATATGAAAATTATCCTTCATAAGAATATCACCAATTCATTAAATATGACCATAAGTAGGTTTTATTAAACGTTAAATTTTTTTCGAAACATTTCCTTTAAATGGTAGGTTAAAATAAAGAGTATAACTTATTTGAGTTTAATAAACCTTTCAAAATTCTGATGTGTAAATATTCTTCGTGTTTGAATTCAGTTAAAACATGAAAGATAAATGCTATTTGTGAAATATTTTATATTTGAGATTTGCTTTGTGTTATGACACATTATTAATGTACACGTAATGATTTCATATGTAAAAAAGTGAAATAACGGGCGAGGTATTTATGTGTTTCCAAAGTATTCCTATTAAACCTGGAAACTGTTGAGTTCAATGTGATAAATATGACTATTTGCCGACTTATTCTTACTTTTATGTATTTATTAATCACAAACTATTCCCCTTGGAAATGGTCCAACTGTCACATATTACACTAGCAGAAAATTACTACGGTGCTGCCAACGTTTGTTTTGTGTTGTATTTTGAAGCAAAAATATTTAACTTGGATCAATGCCAATTGAAGCTCAAGATTTATAATGTTTTCGAAGAGTTTACAGATTTGCGGCTATCTTACGATATTGCAAAATAAATTTAAAATTAATAATAAAATTACATTAATAAATTAATGAAATAAACTAATAAGAAAGGTATCAATAC